TTAAAGCATATATATATATATATATATATATATATATAGGGGAATGGTGGCTATCAACGCTTGATGGTCGATAAGAGACGTTACTTTTGCTGTCCTAATTAATTTGAGCCATTATTGGTGGTTTCGTACATATGTGAACATATACTGGCACATACGGAGACAGACACACTTACATACTTCAAGTTTACATGATTGGAACTAACTAAATCACTTATTACCTCATCAAAGAGGCCAGATATAAAGTATATATAGAGCTTTTAATGATTTACCGGTTAGTTTTCTTGATTCGTTAGCTTGAATTTGTTTGTAATGATGATACTTTGTATTGATGTTATTCATCATATGACGGACGAAAGCTTAGCACCTTTTCACTAGAATCGAAGGAGCTTACCTCAAAAACAGCGTCAACATGAGTGTTCCAGCCAATCGACAGCTAGTCAAGAGTAATTCGCCGTCGTCTTCTGGTGGAATCGACCTTCTAATCTCTTCAGCAAACACATCCACTAAAAATAGAAGTAGGCTCAACAACAAAACCTCGACATCCTATCCATCATCTCCACAAGACCGGTTAATGCTTCTATTCTAGCATTTCGCCCCAACCAAATACTTCCACTTACGTTCCAGTCTATCTAGAAGCCCGTTATCCTCATAATGCTGGGCAAAAGCAAATAAGCCAGTTATCTAGGGATTTTTTAACTAGCATAATCACGGTATCCCGACATAGGCTACTCGATCATTTCTTAATATTAATATGGACGTATACATTTTGCTTGATTTTTGCTGGGCATGTGGTTTGTAACTCATTTGAAAGCTTAATTGAACAAAATTTAAAGTGTTAATCAAAATATTTATTTTGTTTTTACATTTTTACTTGCCTACAGGTGTCTGCCTACACTCCTTTAACTTTTGGCGAGTTGGTGAACGAGCTAATACAGGATTGCACCTCCGACGTGTATCGTGTTCGGTACGTTCATTTCTATGGATTTGTCAGGATAACCAAATACTTATATGCTCTCCTCCCTTTTAGTCATTTTTGCAATCTAATCTTAAGTTGCACGAAGATTTCCTTCGAAGAATTCTTTAATGAAATATTGTGGCATGACTCTGGTTTGGGAAGTTAACTCCACTCATTTGCAAGCATGTAGAGTAAGGTTGAAATGGCCAACCAAATCAAGGGAGGCCTCATTGATATTGCGATATTAGTTGTATAAAAAGCGACTAGGGTTGCAGTATATTTTTGCTATAATTCGTAAAGTATGGAATATTACTATGATGATGTCTGTCACGGTGGTACAGACGAAAGCTTAACACAGTTTCATCGGGGTCACAGAACGGTGAGCCGAGGACTTTATTGCACAATTCAATAGTCTTCCATACGCGTCAATCCTCCTGTTTCCGGTAAGATCACATCACGAATTCCTTCCAACCAACTTCCCCTTCAAAATAGAAAGTCATGCCACAATATTTGATCAATAAATTCTTTGAAACCCAGTTTTTATTCATATTGTTGGCCATTTAAATTTGCACATTTTATGCATGGGTTAACCCAATTGACAAAGTTTTCCATTTCTTTGATTATTTTTTCTTAATTACTAATCGCCTGAGCCATCAGCATTTAAACACTCATACTAAACAATTAATGCATTTGGCTTGTTTAAGGTTTCATTTCTTTCCTGATTTGATCTTGTTTTCATAACTTGGTCATTATTTTACGCATAATACGGGGCACATACTGTGTCGTGTGCGTGACCATTATTGTGCCTAGCACATAAACGTTAACTAGTCACATTTGTAGGTATTTCGCCGGCATCTTAGATGAAGTCGCTTATGCGTAATCTTATCCTTTGCAGGGAGCGGCAACTAAAGCTAATCAACTTCTAGATAGATTTTCTATTGAACGGTGTATCATTTATTCTACGAATTTACTGAAAATTTGTTTAGGTAGCTGTTGCGACTGCATTCCTAAAATTCATATAGCTTCATCTTAAACACCAGGTAATCTTATTGGCAATTAGCGATTAAGTCTACAGCTTGTAAGGCAATGTATCCCTCCTCAATTCTCGCATTATCTATGTTCTCTTTTATCTATCCTACACAAATAATGCGCCACTTGTTGGCACTTACTTTTACACGAAATAAGAATCAGCCAAACAGTTGTCTCATTGCAAATGAGCTTCTTGTAATATATACTAATCAAGACCTGGCTGGTGCAGTGGCAGGACAGAGTGGCTTAGATCTGGCAAAAGGTATAAAGTGATTTTATGCTGGATAAGCATGATGTGGGTATATGCTGTACGAGTTGAGGATATTCGACCTAACGTTAGGTTATAGGGAAAACGTGAGTGACACAGTGACACGTTGGGTCTCATTCTTTCTATGACTTACTGAGATTATATACTTTTATACAATGTATCTATCCTACGATTAACTACTGAAAACAATGTACATAACAACAATGAAAAATGCCGATACAAGTCGCGCTCCTAGAGGTCTCCCAGTCACTAAAACCAAGATTTGAAGGTGAGCTAAAGCCGAGGCAAGATTCAGTCGGATTTATTGCCTTGTCATTATTATTTTAGAATGCTTTTTATACCCTGTATGAACAACTAAAAAGAATCACAAATACATTAAGTTCTTTTACCCATGCTCTGAATTTCTCATTGACTTTATGTATTATCGTTGCTTGGCCTCAAATTACAGCCTACTTTTCCGTTGGGTGACGATGAAAGATTTCCACTATGAGGATTATGATCCTAAAGCACCACCAAACTCCTTCCTGGGCATGATGCGTCGGTTGAAATATGGACAGATATCATATAACGAACTATTCTTTGAATTATGCCGGTTAGTTTAGTTTTTCATTCTTTTTTTACTTATTTTTTATCAGTTTTCTAATTTTTGACCCTCAGCTGTATAGTGTTAGGAATTAATTCCTTTCTTGCTATCCTTTACTAACAGGGTTGTCTAGGTCACCAGAATTTTACTTGGTAGGCGAACAAATGGGTCTATTATTTCTAATCTTTTTTCATAAAGCTAATTTTATTACTTATTAAGAACTTATTTTGCATTTGGGGCACCAAAATTCTAGTAAGTCTCTCGGCTAATTTCCTTTACCCAAAGTAGGTGATTCTTATGAACTATCCGCTTAGCAATTAGTGTACATGGGTTTCTATGTCCAATCAACATTGTGAAGACTGGTTAAACTATCCTAAGCAGTGAGAATTTAAAAATTTACCTGCCTATACAATAAGTAAGCTCTTTTGTACTTTATTAACTACGGACAAAGTCAGTGCGTTTTGCAGCCCCTTCATTTTCTATTATTTGAAATGCTTCTAAATAGTTTTTTGTCGATCTCAAGTTACCTTTTCCCTTATTTAGCCTATACTGTCTGGCTAAGTTATTCTACTGCTTAGCTTTACCGAGTACAATTTCAAAGACACGTCAGCTCCTCTTCTCATCTTATTCCTCTTCTTATTTTCATTTTCCATTAATGCTCTCCTCTCCGTACCCTTTTGCGTTAAGGTTTGCTGGTATCCATTGTCGTTACATATGTGGTCACTCTAAGGGTGCTGGATATCGACCTGGAATGCCTTTGAAGGACAACAGGTTGTTTCGAAACACTTGGATTGCCGTATATGTAGCTGATGCCTGGCGGTTTATCAACTGCAACTGGGCCGCCAGATACATAAATTCCGAGTGTAAGTGTCTACTATATTCTTGTCTTCCTGCCCTCTCGATTTCGTATACATTTGGGCCTTTATTCTAATTTGTATCGGTTTATCATCGTTTTGACTGTAAATAGTATTGTTAACGAGCAATTCTAAAGATTAGGGAAATGTTTTCCTTCTGCCTTTCTGTTTCACGATCATCCTGTTGTCTTGATTGAGGCTTTCCAAGTTACTTGTGCTATTACTTTTAAACAGTGGACAAGACATTATCTATTCTCTATAATTTTTTTATATAACATTCTAACAATAGCTTACCAGGGCTCTCTTTCTGGGCCTAATCAAGCATCTTCAGTATCTTCAATACACCTACCAGAGGCCGAGCTGCTTCATCGACTTGACGAATTCTATTTTCTCACTGATCCTGAACAACACATTTTTGAACACTTTCCTGATCAAAAAGCTTGGCAACTTCTTCGGAAGCCGATCAGTTTGGACCGCTTTGTCCGACTTCCCTTGCTTAAGTCACCATTTTTCAATGCCGATCTTTCCTTGTATAAGAATTATGCTGAACAATTGGTCACCAAGAATGGTCAAGTAAGCCATCATTTATAATTAATCACCTTAACTCATAACTTTTGTCTGACTTACCACTTAATTAATCACTAATCCAGTATTCACTAGCTATTCTCCAATTATGTTCATCTTTACTTTATTTGTTACATAAGGTAAAAGGGAAGTAGTCCGTAAAGGTTATTATTCGGTTGATGCCGAAAATCATTTTTTTCATCCATTATGTCTCAAATTTAACTGCCGATCTCACTTTTCGTCCTTATTTGCATTTCAGTTAATATGCTAGATATACACATACCTCGCCATCCAAGCTATACAATATATGACTAGAAAACTTTTCGACTAAACATTTATGTTTTTTTATATTTGGTTAGTAGAAATATATTTGAAATTAAGGAATTCTTAAAAGTTGTTTGACCTTGTTTTCGCAACTTGGTCATATTGGTAGAAAGAGTTAGAGGAACGCACTGAGTCCAGAGTCTATTGTATGCATGATCATTTCCAAAGTCGGACCGTGGACGTAGTACATTCCCAAATCTTTCACCGGCATCGTCAGTGAGTCTTGCCATTCTTAGCACCGCACCACAACTCGTCAAAGAGACAAGTGAAGCTGATCCTTTGACCAAACGTGTGCTAAACAGTTGTGGTATCTCTCCTCATGTTCTGGGATATTTACATTTCCTATATCCTCGTATCAAGCATGCATTATTACAATTTTACCGTGCTTATTTAGATGTAATGTGGTGTGACCTTTTGAGTGACTTTCAGTGAGCATTGCTATTCTTAGCACCACACTACAACTCGTCAAAGAGACAAGTGAGGCAGATCCTTTGACCAAATTTCGGATAAAGATTCGTGGTATTTCTCCTATCGCACTGGGCTAGTCATCAATCCTCTATTCTGGTATAACCTCTTTACTATCTCGATTTTTTTCTTTAGTTATTTAAATGTGGTTTAGTGTTCCTTTTTGAGCAGATTCCATGAGCATTATCCACAGACCATGCTGGCTTTCTCACCCCTTCACCCCCTTTATCCTTGTTCCTAAGAATGTTGATCAGAGTCTGCCATATTGTTACGCAATCCTTCTTCCATAGGTCTTATCAGGATCTCCCTCTTGTCCCTTAGGATCCGTCTGCTATCTCTCGGGTTCAAATATTTCACTCGACCCTTGCCATCCCATGTGGTACTCGAGGCGTCATTTTTCACACTCTGCCTCTGGGAGACTAACTTGAGGCTAAAATCCCCGAATAATTCTTATTGTCAAGCCATTGCTTCGTGAATTAGGTCTATGGTAAAACAGGCCTAATGTCAACCAACCAAGTCTATCTCTTGCTATGCTATTTCTCTTGTGTGCCAACCCACAAATGTGATACTGCTTGCTTTGATTAGGTACATTTGTGGATTAGCACACCAGACCACATTTAAATAAGCAAGTAAAAAATTGTGAAGGCGTAATACGAGGATATGGGATTGGTGATTATCCCAGAGCGAAAGGAGAGATACCACGATTGTTTAGCAAATAACCGGTTAAAGGATCGGCTTCATTTGTCTCTGACGCGTTATAGTGTGGGGCTAAGAATGGCAATGCTCACTGACGATGCTGGCGATGCGTCTGGAAATGTACCACGTCCTCGGTCCGACTCTGGAAATTATCATGCATACAATGGACTCCGGACTAGTTGCGTTCCTCTAAGTCTTCCTATTAATATGACCAAGTTGCGAAACCTAGGTCTAACTACTTCTAGAATACGGACTGTTTGTTAGCTAAAAGCAAGCCAGGAGTTGCTTTCTTAAAATAAATTGTTTTGTTTTTATTTTGTATCTATGACTCCTAGTTAAAAATTGTAAAAATTAAAATCTTTTCATATTACGTTGATTAGATACTTTTAATTACCTCGGACATTCCTTTATTTTTTTATTGGCTTTTACTCATATTTTTTATGATACTTATTTCTTATCTCTTTAGCTGATATACTTTGTTAGCAGCCAGACATCATTTTTATTTAAAGACGCCATTTGAGTGATTATGCCTTAATCAGAAAATTGATTTTGCTGAAATCATTTGGCTTTTGTCCACATTATTTTCCACCTTTTATCATCTCAAACTTTGAAACATGATATTTTCTTTAATTATATCAGTTTATGGATAAAATATCTATTTACAGTGATATCAAATTGACTTCTATTAATTAGCCGTTTTATAGATTTGCATCCTAAAATGCATTGTTTTAAAATCGAATCTAGTAGGGAAAATTTTATTTTACTTCAATTAAAATAGGATCTCCTGACGAATTTATC